GCCATTACTCAATACATCTGCTGACAAGTGTGGCACGCTATAGGGGTGCAAGAACATGTGGATACACTGATATATGTGACCCATCATATCAAAATGAGGATTAAGTCAAATTTGGTCAAAATGACCTAATTATATTTTCAGATTCTTGGCTTTAAAAACTACATTTTGATACCTGGATCATTCAGATATCGTAATTAAATCCATATATATGACTTAATTTGTCTTGTTGGTTACAATAATGCATAAATATTTGGTCTGAATCCTAATTTTATGTCATTTTTAATGAGGAATTTTTGATGTCCTTATAAAGAGGAAACCTCAGATTATTTTTGAATATTGAGATTTCCCAGCTAAACAGAAACAAAACTATAGCTCACAGGGAAAATTTCAAAATTTTAAGACATTTTCTCTTAAAATCTGTTTTTTTGTTGCTACTGCTAAAAAAAAGTGCTTCAAAATTTTGTTTCATGATTATATTTCAGACAGTTAATTCAAGTGATACATTGATAAGGCTTTTATTCATTATATTTTGACAAAATACAATTTTTGTTAACATTTTTGTCCAAACACTATATTTGCCTATTTCTCCTTATACCAGTTTTGGACTTAATCCTCGTTTTGATGTGATGGGTCTCATATTGCGATATTTCATTTACTGGTACGTCATCTGATTGCCTAAAAGTAAACAGAGTTTAATCAGATTGTATGCATGTAATACACGGTGTGCTCTTTATACTGAGTTTTTTTAAAATGACACTTATTTGGAGAAAAAATTGGCAACATTTCGCCTTGCTTACAGTATTTAAATATATCATTGACCCTTGTATTGTAATTTGTATCAGATAATAAATTCTTGCCAACACACAGCCTTACTATAGAGATGAATGTGTCAGATATCAGAATGTTATCTCCAGTGGGAAAAACGTGCTGTGACGTGTCCAGCAGTGGGAGGGGTTTCCCAGGATCTCTGTGCCATGTCTCGTGGGCCACAAAATGTGTGTGAGAAAACAAACGTGCGACCACGCGACAAGCGGTCGACGGTTCGACTCGAGTATCTTGGACCAATAGGTCTCTCCTCTGCAGTAGACGGCTTCTGACTGACCTCAGTTTGAGTAAAGAGGTTAGTTTGAACTTGAAGTCGACACTAAAGACAAGTTAAGGAACTAAAACAGATCGTAGCAGCTCAACCAAACTGTTGATGATTTTCAGAAGTTTGCTCGGGCTGAGCACACGTTGTTTTCTGTAACACACTGCAAACCTACGTAGTGTTCAGTGTAAACAGTTTAAATGCTGTGAAACCTGAGAGACTAGAGTTGGTTTTAAGACACCATAAACTGCTTTTGTCGTCTTGTCTTTTGGTGTCGTCTCAGTTTGACCGTTAGCTGGATGTTGACGATCCCTTTGGACTTTTGTCGGCCTCTCGTAGCGTTGTGAGTCTCTGTTGGTGCTCCAGTCAAGAGAAGAACCAAAGATGAAAGTTCTTCACACAAGAACCCTCGAGGTTTTCTAATGTGTCATGTGTGTTTGTGTGTGACTGACACAAGCAGTGTTTGATGCAACATTAAGTGAAAGGAGGAAAAAAGCTTTGATGTCTCATTTGACTCTCATTTTGTCCTTTTCTTCCCTTCATCCATCCTTATTCTTTTACCGCATTCCTCTCCCATCCCCCCTCCATCTCTCTCGCTCCTTCTGTCACTCCCCTCCCCTCTCTTTTTTTTCTTGAGCGTTCTCTCCATCCACTCTCACCCCCCTCTCTCTCTCTCTCTTCCATTTGCTCCTCTCCTTGTCAGTCACCTTCCATTTCTTTCCTTCCCTCTCCTCCTCTTCCTCCTCTTGCCCCGTCACACACGTGGATATGAGTGAGTGCTCGAAACAGTCGTGCAGCACTTTTTAGATTATTTTTATGAACCTGACTTTATAGAAATGAGAGAAAGATGAGGAGATGTGAAGATGAAATTAGAAAAGGAATAGATGAAGAGAGACAGACAGGAAAAGACAAAGAATGACAGACGGAGGAGAGGAGTGAGGGAGGCGGGGGGCAGACGGGTGGATGTATAATTTCAGACTCATGATTTCCCTTTTTGTTTTGTTTATACATGACTTTAAAGAATTGTCTGCATCAGTCACGTGTGATGTGATGAGCTGTTTGTTGTCGTTTGTTTCCACAACATGTTGGTGCTGGTGTGACCAGAGTCACTACCAAAACTGATGAGAGGGAGGAGGAGGGCAGCGTTAGTCCCGCCTCCCCCTTCGTCCCTGACGTATAAAAGGGAGGCGAACGAAGCCCGTTCCCACTCAGCACTCCTGCTGGAGAATGAGATCCTTAAAGCACCTGAAGCCTCACGGCAGGAGGAGCGTGGTGAGTTCACAGCTCGCTCCGTGTCGGCTCGTAGTTTAGAGATGCTGGGCGGGGAGTTTAATCTGCTGATGTTTTGGATTTATTTGCAGATTTAATGTTTGTAAAGTTGCCATTACTGGATTTCTTATTTGTCCCAAATCGGGATTTGTCTCTGGCTCTCTCACTAGTCGTCTTTATTTTCATCTGTTTTTGTTGTTGCTTTATTTTTCTCTTTGTGTTTCATTTTGATGTTATTTTTTCTCTGTCTCCAGGTTCCTCGCAGCCTCTCCCTCCTCTCTCTTTCATCCTCTCTTCTCTTCTGACCATCGCCTCACACTCAGCCACTCTTCGTTTCCTTTCTCTAATATCTTTCTATCTCTCAAATGTCCTCCTCCTTTGCCATCGCCCCATTCTTGTCTTTCCTTTCCTCCCTCTCTACCTTTTTGGTTTTCCTTTTTCCAGCTCTTTCTTTGCTGGGAGCTTTTCCTTTTTGCCTCCATTTCTTCCATTTTTCTTGGCTCTCTTCTGGTTGCGTCTTTCCATTTTTTTCTTGTTGTTTTTTCTTAATCTTGTCATGCACTTCTGTGTGCATGGCAATCAGTAGGCTATCTAACCCCCCCCCCCCCCAGCACTCACACAAGCCCTACATGGTTAGCTCGTTGGATTATGATGCTTTTATTTTGTAGTCCTTGCATCAGATCAGCTTCAGAGCAGCTTATGTTAGAAAAATGGGTTTCTGTACACACGTGCAGATTTATATGCTCTGTTTATTCTCAACTACAGCTTTCAGCTCCTTTTCTAGACAAAACAAAGACTTCACTCAGAATTTATTTGTTATGATTTGATATTTGGGACGAACAATCGCAGTATCAACGTGTGCAATTTCAATACCTGGCCAATCCAATAGACTGGTTGCCCTCGATGCCCACAAACTTTCACAGGAGTAGACATTGTTTAGGTTGTCCGAGACAACTTATTTTCATTTCGGACAACCAGATCCTGTCTCCTGGTTGTCCGGTGGACAACCAAGAAAAAAAGACCTTGGTTTAAGTTCTCTGCCGTGGGTGTCCATCATTTGTAAAAATGAAAGGAAGAAAAAAACTTGGTAAAACCAAACAGAACACTAAACTGTAACTTTTAATAATGTCATGTACACAGTATACTCCTATTTAAGTGAAAATGTTTGACCTATGAGTAGGGCTGCGACTAACGATTATTTTAATAATCGATTAATCTGTTGATTTATTTTTTTCGATTAATCGGCCAAATCATTAAAACGCTTAATTACATGAGTATGAGTAGATATAAATTAAGTTAACTCCTTAAGGATGCAAGTTACTGACAATGAATTTAATCTGAAGTTGATTTATCTTATAGATTAACAATTAATTAATAAGCAGCCTTTAAAAATACGGAGTTTTCTCTTGAATCAAGAGGGTCTTCCCATAAAATGAAGGATTTTTTTATAATCTCCTGAATTAAAAAAACAGAAGCACATAATACATATTTTAACTGTTTATTTTGCCAGCTGTATTAAATACTGACTGAAAAAAAGTGTATTTCTCCTACATGAAACATAACAGAAATTTAATAGGTTACTGAATGAGGAAAATAGATTAAAATAATAAAATATAATTTATCACAATTAGAATTTATTTACATTTAACATTTATTTTTTTTCCTCTAATTCTTTACTTTTTGTTTCATTCTTGTTGGTTCTGTTTGACTAAAACATTGTTTGACCCTAGGGCGACCACAAACGATCATTTTCATAATCGATTAATCACTGATTATTATTATTTTTCGATTAGTCAACTAATCAGATCATACGTTAATTGAATATAAAACAGAGCTTATCGCGTCAGAATGCAGCTGCTATTATATAACCATGGTTAGATTTTAGCTATATGCTAGCTAAAAATAATTGCTGTGGAAGGTAAGTTCTGCTCTGCAGATATTACACAGGTTTCTCTTTCATTTTCTTAAAATGATCCCACACTTTGAGCTCTGTTGTCAGGTAGCCATGATACCAGAGCCTGTCTGTATAATGTCTTGTGACGTCCACGGCCTACCCCAGTTACCACTACTGTGCATGTGTGTCATTGACAGAAAGGCAGACGTGGCAGTGGAAGGTGTCAAAGCAGTTTAGAGAGAAAAACAAAGTAAAGAACAAAAAATGAAAGAAAACGATTAATCGATTATTAAATTAGTCATCGATTATTTTAATAATCGATTAGTCGTCGGTTAATCAATTAATCGCTGGAGCCCTACCTATGAGCAGAAAGAAGTTTATGGATGTTGGGTAACCTCTAGATTTTATTAGTAACATTTTAAATACTCTATTTCAAAGAGGAGAATGAGGAAGATTTATTCACGCAGATCCTGTCAACCTGGCTGACTGAGAACAATTATATACTGTATAATAAACTTTGTCTACAGAACAATATACATGTTAAATTACATTTTTCTTGAGATTCTTTTGGTCAACCAAAATGTTTTGCGGACAACTAGGTTCTTATGTCTACCCCTGTTTCAGATGATGTCGTGGTCAAAAAACAAGCTCACAGAGTCACGAGTGTTCAGAGCAGGAATGTCGAGAGAAACTGATTTCTGCTGAGAAACATCAGATATCTTGACTACGCTTTGTTCCTTTCTGTTCCAGGAGGAGGCGAGCCGGCGCCTGGGTAGATGTGAGCCCAAGGTAATGGCCCGGCTGGTGGACATCAGCACACAGACAGATCCCGTCGTCGTGCTGTCCTTGGCCCAGGCTGCCGTGCTAGGTCTCATCTCCCAGAATGAAGTGTTCGGAGCTACCATCGCACCCAACGGATTCTACACCGGCGAGCCCAAAGAGTCCCCCGCACCCCCAGTAGACGGAGTCGACTACGAGTACGCCGACCAACTCATCGGAGCCAACGGAGATTACCTCGGAGACAACTTGGGAGAGGACGGTCAAATGCAGCCCAGCTGCAGTCAGAGGAGGTGGCAGCAGGGGCCTCCGCAGCACGCGGACGGGAAAATGGTCCTGCCCGACCGTCACGGCCTGCAGGGCCCCGACGTGACCTCGTCCCACGTGAAGGGGGAGGTCGTGGCCTCCGGAATGCCCTCTTGTGTCCACATGTTGAACAATATGGCTCCCAGAGGGGGTCTGGTTCAGGTAGACCCAGCCTCCCTCCGAGTCCCAAACAAGAACTGTGCCGAGTGCGAGCGTGAAGCAACCGGCCAGCAGCAGCAGCAGCAGCAGCAGCAGGCTGCCACACACGTGCATCCTCCTCCAGCCCAGGTGGCCCACAGAGGAGCGGAGCAGGCCCACCGAGGACTGCAGGGCCAGCGCTCCATGGGGGCCCACATTAGAAGTGGTAGAGAAGACGAAGAGGAGGTGGGACACCAGGACAACGCTATGATGAAACCCACACAGCAGGAAGAAGCCATCAGCAGCTACTTCCAGACCAGTGAGGTGGGCAGCTATGACTCTTCAGAAATGGGCCTGGGCGGCGAGTATGAAGACAGCAGCCAGAGCATGATGTGGACAGACGGGAGCGGCGGGGCGCAGCACCAGCAGCCGCCACACCCACAGCCGCCTCGTCGACACGGCGGCCGCCGGGTGGACCGGCTGGACATCAACATCCAGATAGATGAGTCGTACTGCGTGGATGTGGGGGACGGTCTGAAGCGGTGGAAGTGCCGCATGTGTGATAAGTCCTACACCTCCAAGTACAACCTGGTCACGCACATCCTGGGCCACAACGGCATCAAACCCCACGCCTGTCCCCACTGCGGGAAGCTCTTCAAGCAGCCCAGCCACCTCCAAACCCACCTGCTGACCCACCAGGGCACGCGGCCCCACAAGTGCAGCGTCTGCAAGAAGGGCTTCACCCAGACCAGCCACCTGAAGCGCCACATGCTGCAGCACACCGACGTCAAGCCCTACAGCTGCCGCTTCTGCCGCCGCGGCTTCGCCTACCCCAGCGAGCTGCGGGCGCACGAGGTGAAGCACGAGCGGGGGCGCTGCCACGTCTGCTCGCAGTGCGGCATGGAGTTCCCCACCTACGCCCACCTGAAGCGCCATCAGACCAGCCACCAGGGCCCCCACACCTTCCAGTGCACCGAGTGCAACAAGTCCTTCGCCTACCGTAGCCAGCTCCAGAACCACCTCCTGAAGCACCAGAGCCCGAGGCCTTACACCTGCTCCCAGTGCGGGCTGGAGTTCGTGCAGCTCCACCACCTGCGTCAGCACTCGCTCACTCATAAGGTACCACCACCAGACCTCTCCACTCCCACCCAGACTCATGGCAGCTCAGGTTGCATCGCTGTAGTCTGGATTTGAACCAACGCTTACAGTTTGATTTAAATAGAGAGTTTCTCAGGATTTCTGAAGGTCGGTTTAAAAAGAATAAACAAAAACTGAATCTCTCCAGCTGCCACAAAGACAGTTTGAGCCTTTCTTTTAGGCAACAAGTCAAGAAAAATATCACATAACTCAGTTTGACAAACATAAAATAGTATTTTAGAAACAAGGTGATTCCCAAAAGGCTGTTGGCTGAAAACTTGGTGTTGATGAACAGATCATATTTCTGCTACTTTAATGTTTTGGGATCATTTATGTTTGTTATCATCATAAAGTTCTGATTTTTTTTTTAAAATCTTTTAGTAACACATTGAAGATTAGGTCGAGATACAGAGAAAAACTACTTAGTGTTGTTTTAGGTGAAACTTTTAGGAGTAAGGCCTGCTTTATTATTGGCCAATTAATATCTAAAATTAGTTGGATGAATAAAAATTAACATGCCACACAAACTTTAAAAATGTTTTTGTTATAGAGTTTTGTCTGATTGGGTCAGATCTGAATGATGAATCTGATTTTTACAGATAGTTAATTATCATCCAATCATTGTTCAGCAGAGTAAACTCTTATCCTGAGCACAGTGAGAAAATTAAGTTTCTGCTTTTGAAAGAGGTTTGTGCTTGTTGGGAATTTGGAAAAGAAGAAAAAAATTCTAGTCTGGTTTTATTTTCTATTATGACGTTTCTCTTTGTTAAAAAGCTTTTATAACAATGTAAGGGGGAAATGGTTCAGGAGCAGAATAAATGTGTCCTTAGTGGTCATTTTTTTTGTTTTTGTTTTATTTTACACACATGCTAATCTGCTCAACAAGTATCTTCATGCACTTCCTGTCAAGCTCCTAGTTTGTCTCAAATGTTTGTTTCTTTGTCTATAAAGACCTTTTGTCCTTTGACCTGGATGATTGAGCCTGCGTTAGGGCATTATTCTGATTTAACTCTGCACATGAACACAAACAGCACATGCAGGTGTTTTTCTAACAGGGTGCTAATATAAAACTGGAGGTGCTCTTCTTCAGCGGGGGATTATTTCTTGTTTTTGTGGTCTGTTTTTGTGCCTGTGGTCTAGTGACTGCGCCCTCTGGTGGACAGCAGCTGCTTGATTTTACAGATGTTGGCTGAATGGACGAATTCTCATTCAGCAACATTATTTTTTGTCTTCTGCTGACTTCAGATTGGAGAGTGAGAAGCAGCAGTTTCATTTAGACCAAACTTTACGATCGAAGAAGCCGTTTCTGCCCGTTTTGACTAAATTTAGCTCAGTTTTTTCAGTATTTGTTAATTTTACATCAAACTGTTATAACTCACAGTCACAGCTGTTCTATCACATCAAATGTTTCAGTGTTTTTAAGCCTGTTTGACAGAATCTTTGCTGTTTTCTGTGAACCAGAGGTTTCAGAGTTTGTATTATCTGCATTTAACTCCGTGTTCCTGTCCTTTGTGAGGTGCAACAAAATGGCTGTTTTATTTTTAGATTTATGGTTTAGGATTTAGTAGTCTGCAGGATTGTGTTTAACTGTGATGCACAGAAATATTAGCATCATCTGTGTTAAAGTAGTGCAGGAGCAGCAGGTTCTATAGCAGTGTTTCCCAAAGTTGGGATCGGGACCCAAAGTGGGGTCCCGAAACATCAAGGTGGGGTCCTGAAAAGATTTTCTGAATTAATTACATTTTTGCCTTAGTTGTTACAAAGGAGTGAAGTTAGAGAATTTAAAATGGATGAATGTAGTATAAAAATATTGTTACTATGCCCATGTTTTGTTGACCTGATACAAATGTTTATCATCCAAAAATAGTTGGGGGCACAGGTCTCTGCTACTGTTATGTTGTGGGTCAAAAGCTGAAAAGTTTGGGAACCACTGCACTTTGGTTCCCAAAGTTGGGCTTGGGACCCAATTATGGGTCATGAAGCACCTTGGATAATCTCCAGAAATCAATTTAAAGGGTAATAAAATCATTGCTAATGTAATAATTTCCCTATAACTATTACAAATCACACAAAAAGTATAAATAAGTGTATTTGTGTACAAGCTGTTTAGGTTGTCAAAAAGCCTATGTTTTTAGAGTTATTAACAAAGTTCGTGTACTCAGACCAGTAATATTTGGGGTCACAAGTTTTTGCCATGAAAATTTTTTGGGTCAGAAGATAAAAAGTTTGGGAACCACTGGTCTATAGGAGAGTAGAGCTGTTCTTTGTGTGGATGGTGCAGTTTGCTGACGTGTATCAAAAGCAACTAGAACGTGCGATAAGATAGAGCTGGGCGGTATGACCAAAATTTTATATCACGGTATTTTCAACATTTATACCGGTTTCACGGTATGTCACGGTATTTTTCTTTTCATCACAGTTCAGCTGATAATAAAATGTACAAACACTGTTTATTAACTTTCTTCTTTTACTGTACCTCTGTGTCTCTGTTTCCCTCCTCTAAACGTCTTTTCTTCTCCTGGTTGTTAGACGATTGAATCAATAATCACGCCATCCCTATTGGAGACAGTAGTCACGCATTTTGGTCCGGTCGTGGAGGAGGAGGGTTAAGAAAAGATTATTATCGGGTTTATTGTTTTATGTTATTTAATAAAACTTATCAGCACGACTCACCTTGCACACCAGTCAACTCAACTCCACTACAAAACTTCTTCCCCCCGGCTTTTCACAATAGCAGCACGCTAAAGTCTCCATGCGTCTCCACGTCTCCATATTAAAGTTGCGTGTTAAATCTAACTGTGCACGTCACTGAAGAGGTGTTTACTACGTTCAGTGATGGCAAAAACGGGATGTTTTTTAACATCAGTCAATACAAGCAGCAGAATCGCCACCCGCCGCTGCAACAAACTGCTCAACAATAACATTAGCATGCTAACGCACATAGCGGTGCAGTGAGGAAAAGTGTCCCCCAGGAAGCAGTTCACTGGCGGCCGCGACGAAACGTTCCACATTTGTTCAGGCTATTTAAACCGGTATGTCGGTATTCAGCTAATTCATATCATAATAAAAATTAAAAACGGTGTTCGGTACGAACCGGTGTACCGCCCAGCACTAGGAAAAGACATATTTTCTTATTTTGAGTTGTATTTTTCCTTTGCAGTTAAAAATGTTGAAATGTTGAGTGTACTCCTCCCTAGGCCTGTTGCAATAAGCATTAATAATAATTATAATAATAAAAATCATTTTATTTGAAAAGCGCCTTTCAGGACACCCAAGGACACTTACAGCAGTAGACACATCATAGAAGAATGTGTGAAAATACAGTTAGAGACAAGCAGGCGTAAGGCAATAAATAAGGCAATATATCAATTAATCGCACAATAAATAAAATGAGGTGGATGATTTTTATCTGCCTGCTTGTTTTTCTTCACGCCTCCCTCTTTCTGCTCCTCAGCGTAGGGAGGAGTGAAGTCTGGCATCAGGTATTTGCCAGGTGTGCGGTCTCGTAACCTCTGTAGCATGAAAGCCCCGTGAACAGGCGTTTAGCTAGAGCAGGGGTCTGCAACCTGCGGCTCTGGGGCCACATGTGGCTCTTTGGTACCTCTGCAGTGGCTCTTTGAAAATGTGACCAAACATAACAGAATAAAAAAAAAATTAGTTTTTTTTAACCACAACAGAAATCTATATTTGATCAATACTACTAATACAAAAAGTAAAACATGTTTAGCTCATTTTAGCCTGTGTTTTACTTAAATATTCCAATTTCTTTCTATGATCTTTCTCTCAAATCCATCAGAGTTACATTGAAATAATTTGAAGACTACATAATAATAAGAATTGGGAAAAAATGCCTGAATAATTCATTTGTATTAGTTTTTCTGAAATTCAGTATAAACTATATATGGTATTTTCTTTGTTTACATGAATATGGTCTTTTTATTTTTCCTGATGTATATAATAATAAATAATACAATAATAACAAACAATATTTTTTTAGTTTTATTTTATCACCTCCACTGACCGTAAAAGTTCTCGAAAAGACCTTTAAAAGGCCCGCGGACCACCTGTTGATAATCACAGTTGTGGTTTGTTTTGCAGCTCTGAACACATTGTATTAGTGAGACAAGGAGCACAAATGGCTCTTTTGATTGTAAAGGGTGCAGAACCCTGAGTTAGAGGAACGTCTTCATGACACCGTATCAAACCTTGGGTTCACCGAGTTTATTTTTTTTCTACACTACGTCAATTTTTTAAACTTCTGTAAAAAAGGGAGGGGGATTATTTAACTATATTAGTTTAAAATGGTCTTTAAACAATATTACTGTTTAGTGCAATAATTTCTGAAACTATTTATCATCCAGCAAAATTTGTTATGGTGACAGGCCTCCTCCTCCCCACAGTAGCATTTATTTTTTTACACTTCAGCGATCAGTACACTTTTGATTAGCGTTTTTTTTTTTTATACAGACCTGTCTTGTGTTTGCTCTCTGCAGGGGATGAAAGGCCACAAGTGTGAAGTGTGCTCCCGGGAGTTCACCCTGTCCGCCAACCTGAAGAGGCACATGCTCATCCACAACAGCGTCAGGCCCTTCCAGTGTCACGTCTGCTTCAAGAGCTTCATCCAGAAGCAAACCCTCAAGACTCACATGATCGTCCACCTGCCTGTGAAGCCCTTCAAATGCAAGGTGAGCGTCGGCAGCAGGAGTTCCTGGTTAGCAGGCGAAGAAAAACTCTTGAGATGAAACAAAGGAGGCAAAGAGACGCTAAAAACATTGTTTATTCTCTTAAAGTTTGAATTTTCTGTGTGGTTAATGTCGGCTGTTTCTTTGGGTTTAGGTGTGTGGGAAGTCTTTCAACAGAATGTACAACCTGCTGGGTCACATGCACCTCCATGCTGGCAATAAGCCCTTCAAGTGTCCTTACTGCACCAGTAAGTTCAACCTGAAGGGAAACCTCAGCCGACACATGAAGGTTAAACACGGGATGGACGTCTCGCCTGAAGGACAAGGTGAGTGAAGGACGGCGTTTAAATAAATCTTTGGTAGCTTAAAGGTTTGTAAATCTGCTCGACGGTTTCTGAGGTTCAAAGTGTCCACTTTTTGCTTGTTTTGAAGTTTTCAGGAAAAATCAATGCTTGCAAATCTTCTAAATGAACACATGACTGAATAAGACATGTTCATCTCTGATTTTATTTAAAATCAAACAAAATGTTGAAGGAAAAAAGTCATACTGCTTATAAAGATCATATCCCTGACTTTAATGTGTTCAACTAGACACATTAAACTTTATTTGAGAAACATTTACCTAACATAAAAACAAGGCTGTAAAAATACTGTAGGTTGTTTAGTTTTTATTAAAAAAAATTGTGTTGTCACACAGATGTTGCCTTATTTTCACCGCAAAGCATTCTGGGTAAATGATGATGCTTACAACGTCCTCCAGTGTGAGCTGCATCCAGCTTGAAGTTTCAGCTGTTTTAAATGAAACAGAGAGGAGAACGTAGAAAAGACTCTGCGACGAGCTGCTTCATGCAAGGCTTAAATTAGCTTTAGCCTTTTAGCTCTTTTGTTAGCTTTAGAGCTAATAAAGTTAGCTAATAGTATTAGCCCAGGAGTTAATTTACTAAATATTATATTTGATCATTTTAACCCATATATTAGAAACTAATACAAAGTAAAACTTTACCACATAAAGTAAAATATAACTTTATTTTAGCCTTGACTCTTTGTGTTTTAATCTCAACTGTAACCAACGTCAAGTGAAAAATGTAATAAACTGATGTTTATTACTTAGATGTTTACACAATTTTTTCCTTTTTTCCCCATTTTTGTAGAAGTTCTTCCAGAAATGGAGAGCCAGGGGGAGTACGAAGGACAGAACTTCAGCTTTACATCAGCAGACAATATGGACAACAGCGGCTCTCAAAACCTCACCAAACTCACTACAGCGAACATGGAGGACATGGAGGAGTATTACAATTTTGGGAAGGATACGAACAGCTACACTGCACCCTGAGTGATGATGGACCAGAAAGGATAAGCGATGGGATGATTTTCTTTTTTTTTTTTTTCTTCTTCTTTTTTTTTTTTTAGGCTTTTGGACCAAGTTACTTTGGGAGACTTTATGGGGAAAGTGGTTCTCTTTCAGTTTTGGCCTCCTTCCAGAAGATTCAGATCTGACAGGACCATGATGTGAGGGAGGGGGCGGAGCCATGAAGGACAAGTGCTCCAGAGTGGACGTTACTCTTGTTTTCTTCAGCAGAGACACTGAAAGTGTGGTTTGACGCTCCTTTTCCAGACTTACTGAGACTCACAGATGGACAGTCACATCTGTATGTTGTATGTATCAGTTACTTGGAAGAAGAATAAAAAAAAATATACGGAGCCATCGGTTACATTTGATGTGATAGAAATTAATCATCTGCCATCTTTGTCCATTCACAGCAGCCAATTACACCCGTTTATTTTTGACTGAAAGTGCCAGCCTTTTTTTTCTTTGCTCACTGTATATTGATGAAAATTCACAACATTTCCAGGTTTAAATGCTCTCAGTTCTGTTTAACTAAGTTCTAATGCATCTTTTTCTCCTTTTTGCACAAGATTTTCTAGTTTGTTTTCACTAGCTTGGCACTTCCTGGATAATTTTCTACTTCCTGATGCCGGCGAGCACCTCCAGACGTGACCGCTGGCATGTAAAGCCCTGTTCACTGTACAAACAGTTCTGCAACATGCACTGTGTTTGTTCACCGTTGTTTTTGTTTTTTTATTTCACATGGCTTAGCTTTACATTAATATTCTATCCCGTGTAGTGAATATATCGCTCCTAGTTTTTGAATTAATGAGTGAACAATACGAAGCACTTTTTTTATTGAAACTGTTTCCTTTTCCTGCGAAGGCTACGTGGAGGTACGAGTGAAATAATTAGCCTCAAAGAAAAGAGCCGGGGAGAAGAGATTGTAGAATCTTTCTAAAACCCCATTAATGGCAATATTATTAAAGTATATTACTAAACAACGCACTTGCTCTGTCACGTTTTTGTTACTTTGAGATTCTCTGATTTTTAGACGAATCACAGCAGTTTGTTCAGGTAAGATGTGAAGAATTGGACTGGGTTTTCTGTCGTTTGTAATTTGACCTCTTCTGACTCAATTTGTTTTATTCAGTGCTAAATTTTAAATATTCAAAGAGAAATCAAAAAGCTAATCAGTTCTTTTGAAAGATAATAAGTGGTGGCCGTCTTATTGATTAGCTGTTGGCACTAGCTTCTGCTAATGTTTCCTATTTTAGCCTTAGCCAAGCTATGTTGAGTTAGCAGATTATGTGTTAGCGATGCTAAGTTTTGGTTAGCTGTGTCCACCACTGGTTAGACTTTTATTAAACGACTGTTTTGAAACTTATTCACAAATGTTCTGCTCTGGAGGGGAAATGTTCACTGTAGAGCTGGGGGAAGAGGCTCCATCATCCAGGGGAGCTCAGATTAGAGCTGCTGCCTCTAAAGGAGTCACCTGATGTTTACATGAAGTTAGAAATTATGGCAGTTTATGGTTATTATGCAACAATGAATTTGTTTTTTTAGCAAATTTTCCATCTACCATACATAACTGCTAGGGGTGCAAAGATACAGAAAATTCACGGTTCGGTTCGATACTTTAGTCTCACGGTTCGCTATTTTTTCGATACAAAAAAAGAGAAATTTCCATGCCCCTTTTAACGTGTAATTTATTTGTATTAATTATGAACATTTGTTTAACCTCAAAAGTCCAGTTTTTAAATTAAATGTTGCTGAAACAGCAAGTTTCTCAGTGGATCTGCGCTCAAAAACGCAGCCTAGGTGGAGTAGTCGAACACAGATCCACTGATCCTTCAACACAGAGCATCTTCAGAAGGCAAGTTGATAAAGTAAATTTTATAAAAATCTGTATTGTTTGATACAAGTGTGTATTGAACCTAAAGCACTGTTCGATACGGGTACATGTATTGTTGTACCCCTAATAACTGCCTAATTTAAACACACAGTAACAATATTTCAAATGAACCTTAGACATTTGAAAGTATATAGAGATGAGCATTCTTGCTTAAAAATAGTATTATGTGACCGTGAAGTGGTTATAGCAGCTGCTGCTTCATCGTCCTGCTTGGTTAGATTTGCACAGGCAGGCCATGGCCAAGTGTACACTTTGATTTATTTTTTTTAAGTGGGAAATAGCCCTAAGCACTAATTGGTTGACCTCTAGTATCAATAAGAAAAAAATTGTATAGGTCTTCTGGACGGGTTCTTCTTTAATGAAACGTTTCGTCTCTCCTCCAAGAGACTTCTTCAGTCTGAGAGTTTCAGGCAAAATTCAGGCTTTTAAGCCCTGCCTCCATGTGACTGATACTCACATCACATGGCTATCGTTGACACCTAATTAACACCTATTGTTAACAGGGGGTGGAGTGATACTGGCAATAGCAGCACTGTAGGATGGAGACAACTGAAAGCGGATGCCTCCACCTCTGTTTAATGATGGACGGTCTTTCTTCACAAAAATGGCTTCTTTTACTCCTCTCTCAAACCAACGTTCCTCTCTATCAAGAATGAGAACATCCTCATCTCTGAAAGAGTGACCGCTGGCCTGTAAATGAGTGAAAACTGCAGAGTTCTGGCCATTAGATGCAGCTCGTCTGTGTTGGGACATTCTTTTGAACAGTGGTTGCTTTGTTTCCCCGATGTATAACTGGTCGCAGTCCTCCTGGCACTTAACAGCATATACAACATTGCTCTGTTTGTGCCGGGGCACCGGATCTTTGGGGTGAACCAGCCTTTGCCGTAATGTAGTAATCTAGTATCAATCCACCACAATCAGGTGGACATAGCTATAAGTAAAATATCTTGAAAGATGTGTGGATTGACTTCTATTTATCAAGTAAAATTCCCCTCAAGATTGATTATAATCTCTAAAGCCTTAATAATTCATGTCTCAGTGAAAATAAAAATCGTGCTTTGGTTTATATGTTTAACAAAAGAACTGGTTTCAAAATGTGTCAAGTTTTTCTACATTTAATCTAACGGGTTGAAGAAAATGAAATCATGTCTCATTTCTGAGTTAAACAGCTGCTTTTTAAAGTTTTAAACCTGACGTTTCTACAAAACCAGGTTCAAACCCTTTTGCAGACATGTTGATGTCATGAATGCTCTGCTTCATGCAGGGATTGTTCTTCACTTCCAAAAAAATGACGTTTTTGATTCTGTCTTTGGTAATGGGGACATTTTTTTTTCCACAGCAGCTCTTGATATTACATGGGAGGGTTTTTAGCAGGAGGACATTCCTTCTAGGAGGATATTAAAAAAAAGTAGGGAGAGGGTAATCTAAATGCTAATTTCTGCTCATCTTTGATGGAGGATTTTCGCTAATTTCCTTTGACATTTTAGCTGAACAGCAGGAATAAAAGAAAGACGATCAGCTTCTGACCAGCAGAATATTTTACAGGGATGGAGAGTCCCAAATGTTTGTGAAACAAAAATAAGAGCAACAAGTGGCAAATGTGAATCCTCAAGTTGCCTGAGAGATCTGTTTTAGGTTTTTACACGAGATGAAACCTGCTCATAAAAGCTTAATAAAGCTGGTTTCACAACAAACTAGAACAATTATCCAGCGGTGAAATAAAAACATACAGCTGAGTAAAGCTCCACGCCATCATCTGCTGGTGAAACACTGGATTTACGACTCACTGCAGATTTCTTTCATCGACTGTATAAAAATCTCTGAAGAGACGACGTGGACGTCTGAGCTGAAGAGTTTTCTGCTTTAAACTTCAAAACAGGAGAACGACGAGTGGAATGAAATCAAAACATTATTTAGTAAGTAGTGATCATTTTTATATCCATGAATGCAAACAGTACAGCTCAGTTAGTAAATACTGTTCCATCTGTGCAGTATAAAAGGATCATGTGGACGTGGAAGTACAAAAAGGCACAAAAACTTGTTTCCATTATGAACAATGAATTCAAGGATTCAAAAAGTAAAAATTAAATGTTTACAGCTCGTAAGTTTGACTTCTGATTGTTCTTCACTTGTGTAGAGACTTTTCCAGGTTGTTCTTGATGGCGTCCAGGAAGTCTGAGGTGTTGACGTAATGTTTGTTCAGTTTGACGCTGCGGGATAACAGAGCAGGGTTAGAAAACTAAGATATGGAACAGGACACACACAACACTACCACCGACAAAAACACACACATGGTTATAAAGAAACATTGAAACTCACTTGGACAAGCCGTGAATACACCCTGCGAGGTCTTTAGTCATCACTCCACTTTCTACAGTTTCCACACAGACTTTTTCTAAAGTGTGACAAAACCTGAGCAATAAAACACAATTATTATAACGTGATTTTATATTAACATGTGCATAAAAAAACAGCTATAACTTACTTTATTAGGTCAGAATTTCCATCCAGTTTTCCTCGGTGCTCCAGTCCCCTGGTCCATGCAAAGATGCTGGCGATGGGGTTGGTACTGGTGGGTTTGCCCTACAACGCAGCAGAGCAGACCTTCCAGTCACAGTTTCAATTAAGCTGTCCTTTAATGCAGTTTAGCCTGAAGCTAGATATTAAGATGAAGTTCACAGAAGGACCATTCAGAGCAGTGGTGGGTGCGGTTCTTCTAATCAGCTAGCAGCTAATAGCAGAACTACATTTTGATTTAATGAATTAGCTTTTAGAAAAACAGACAAATTAGCTTCCGCTCAATTCTGCTAACAGCGAACTAAAAAAACAACAACATTACAAGCAGGGCTCTCAAGTTTTGACCTGAGCTTGGAGTGAGATTTCGAGCCGCTGAACACTGTTGCCAAAAGATACTTTTGGCAGTCCTAAAAATTGCTAAATAACCTCATCGTCCAATTTACATATTTGGGTTTTTGCCAACAATTGCGATCAGGGCTGTATGGTATTTAATGTAGAGAAAACAGTGTGTAAAATCATTCTGATGAGGGGTCTGGGGGTCCTCCCCCAGAAAATTTGAATAAATTAGACTCCATTTCCTGCATTCTGGTGTATTTTAACAGGTTGTTAAAGAGATCCCCGATTAGTTGTAACATTAGACTTTATACGATAAAAATATACTTTAACTGTAAAATAAAGACTGTAAAAATACTGTAGGATGTTTAGTTTTTATAATTTTAAACTAAAAGTTTAAAAATAAATTCCACGGACGGGGCCATTTTATTTACACACAAAGCATTCTGGGTAAATGATGACGTGGATAGGTCCTCGGTGCGAGGCTGCTAGTGAGCTATATCCACCCTGAAGGTTAATCTTGGACAATATCTGATGATCGACTCTTTTAAATGAAACCAGAGAGCGTTGACAGAGAGGAGAAGGTAGAAATGACTCAGCCTGGAACTGAAAATATGGATGGAGGACAACAGAGCTGCTTCATTGAAGAACCTCAGCTTAGCCTGTTGGCTTTAGCTCCGACGCTCTATTGCTTTATATGTATTAGCTCGGTGTTAGCTCGACAAACAAGCTAACCTGTTGTCCACCATCCATATTTTCAGTTCCAGGC